CCCCAAAACCCCAAAACCCCAAAACCCCAAAACCCCAAAACCCCTACTGGATTAAAAAAGGTGAAAATATAAAATATATTAAGATCTCTTAGCAATGAAGTCTTCTCTAACGAAGAGCCATGCAGCTGTAAATGAAGATGCTCCTACTGGAGCTTTTAAGCCAGTTCTGGCCCGTAGTTCTGGAAAGAAGGCCAGCCCGAACCAGGCAGAGAGGGGCTTGCGAAGAAGCACGAGGTGAAAGAGGAGGGCTAACTCTCGTTCATCCCGAAGAAAGTCAAGCTCCTACCAACAGTCAGAATCAGTCGAAGAAAATAGTCACCCAGATAGTAACGAAGGAGAAGGAACTGAACAGGAAGGATCTGTTACCTTTCCTTTTAAATAAAAAGAAACTCGTTTTTCTATCCTGTAGAGTATACGAGAAGGCTAGAGAGCACTGTATAACTAATGGCACCCAAATCGCTAAAGAAATACTCGAAGAGAGCAGAAAGTACAACCTCAATTTTGACTTCAAAAATGTCCAAAGGCGGGTTTATGATGCACTAAATGTTCTTACCGCTCTCGATATGATCAAGAAAGATAGGAACAAGATTGAGTTTATCAGAGACGTCAATGAAGTCTTTGGGAATGGTAAATAAGCAATTTCAGACTCCAGAAATTTCGAAGCAAGAGAAAGAATCAGAAATCAATGCACAATTAGAAGCTATATATCATAAATAAGCAAGCTATTCAGGAAAGATTAAAACAGAAGAAACAATATTTGGATGAAATCACTGTGCAAGCTGCTTTATTGAAGAAATTAGTGAGAAGAAATATGAAGAATGAAGATAACGAGACAACCATTAACACTCCTATAAAAGTTAAGGATGATGCACTTACTTTAAATAACTTCCAGAAGTCTAGGAAAATTAATCTCCCCATGCTCGTATTGGAATTCAAGAAGAATTCTGACATAGAGATTCTTATGAATGAGGATCATAAAGAATTAGTAATTGTATCAGACTCCAACTGAAGACTTTACAATGACAATCATGTACTTTTGAGTACTGGCTTATTGAATGAGTCTGAACAAGGCAATATAGAGAACCTTTATGAGACTGAAGTTAAACCTCTTGAATCAAGCCATCACGAAGAAGAGAAGGACAATGATATGAGACCTCCCTCTCCTACCGGAAATGTAAAGATAAAAGTTAGCAATATTGGCAAATTGCAGAATAAAGGAGGGATTATCAATATTTCAAGCCCTTTCAAAGAGAGTGAATGAAAAGATCCTAATTTAGCCAGTCCTTTCTGTAAAAGCTTTTTATCCCCACTTTGCAACAAGTATGTGTATCAAGATAGCCCTCTTCTGAAGGATACTTTGACCCCATTTCGGGAAAATACCCCTGCAGCATATACTCCTCTCTCTAATATGGGAGATAATAGAGAGGACCATGGATTTTCATCGCCGTTCCTCCACAAGCAAGTAAGCTTTGGCTTGAATGGATAAAGGTTTGATAATGAAGTCTTAACGCAAAATTTTTCTATATAATGAAGATTACAAATATAACTTATAGCCCAGCCATTATGGTTTAATCTCTCCTAAATTTAGAATCGGTGAATGGGGTTTTGGGGTTTTGGGGTTTTGGGGTTTTGGGGTTTTGGGGTTTTGGGG